CCCCCCCCCCCCCCCCCCCCCCCCCCCCCCCCCCCCCCCCCCCCCCCCCCCCCCCCCCCCCCCCCCCCCGCCCCCCTCGCCCCTTATACGCCCGCTGTTGCCACTGAACCTACGAGAAAGAAGCGGAAAGGACTAATGACGTCAGCAAAACAGAAAGGAAGTAGAAAAGCCACTCTCACTTAGTGATGCGATGGAACTCGGTGTGGGACAGTTCTAGTTCGCGTTCAACAAGAACGGGAACTGGTACCAGTTCTTTTTAAAAAATTAAAATTGAAATGAACTGAACTAATGACCAGTTCTTAGGAATTGGAACTGTCTCACCCCTAACAGTTACCGAACATTCAAATGTTCATTCATTTTCTTGTATTCTTTATGAATATTGATTTTCTTTTCTAAATTTGAAAAGATGAAATATATTCAGTCCGTTTCAGTTGTAATTTTATTCAGGTTCATCTTCATATTTTTCATTCTATTTTTACGGATTGAAAAAAATAAAGCTTCGATTGTTTATTTGTACATTTCGAAATATTTCGAAGGTTATTTTTGCGTTAGTCATCAACCTTAAATAGTGCTGAATATATACACATATATTCATAACCACAGTCACTTGTAACACGAACACTTTGATTTTACTAAGGGGTCCAAAAAACTGATTTATTTTTCCTTTTTAGGATCAACGAGTTCGCAGCCTGTGCCTAATACCGTGCTATTTTTATATTATACATCAATTTTCTTGCTTCTTCGGTTGCTTATATTATACAGACATTTTACCGTTTATGACATATATGAGGTATATTTACAATGGAGAAATAGCAAAGCTTTTTCAAAAACTTCTTTTATGTAACATATAAAGTAATATAACATCTAAACATCAGAATGAAATACACATAGACAAAGAAACAAAAAGTTAAGACTGTTCAAACCTTGACTGTGGGTGGAAAGCCGGTTGAGCTGATATTTTTAGGGTAGGTAAAAGAAGTTTTTGAAAAAACCTTTGTGATTTCTCCGTTTTAATATGTCTTACGTGTCAAAAACGGTAAAAGTTCTATATAAAATGAGAAACCCTAAGTATACATCCGAGTTTCACATTTCAACAAAGCAGAAATAGATTCTGTAAGTCTGATAGTCAGCGTCAGGATCAAAAATAAGCTATACAAAATTATTTTCATCGTATTTGGTGTGTACAACACGGAAAATAGTCCGAGGTACCACTAGTTTTCAGAAGCCTAAAGCTCAAACATCCTCCTCTTCTAGATGAAAATTTTATAATAAATCTGACAAAAATCCGATAAGATTCCTACTGATTTCTTACATAAGATTCCGCAAGAAAGTCCCATGAATTTCATAAGAAAAGTATAAGAGCCTTATAAGAAAGTGATAAAAACTCGTAAATGTAATTCTGATATTTCACAGTTGTAGTCCGTCATAGCCCAGTTGGTACGAACACAGTACGGCATGCTAATAGGGCTCAGGTTCGAACCCTGAACGGCCCGCTATTTTTTTGTCAGATTTATTGACGTAGAACTGATAGTGGTAAACTTATGAAGCAAATTCTATCAACTTCCAGAAAAACAAATTTTTAAATAGCAATTTCATAAGAAATACATAAAAATTACCTAAGAGTTATTATCATTTTAAAAAAGGTCTTTGACCGAACCGAAATAAGTACCTATTTTGGTTTCGAAAAACTTGAAATTATTTTGCATTAATTTTTTTTGTAATTATTTACATTAACTTTGGGTACAAAAATTCGTTCAGATTAATCTGTGATTTGAAATTAATTTCAGCAAATATTTCCTAAATCAATTTGAATGAATTATTTATTACAAATTGCTTTAAATTAATTTACGAACAGAAATTAATAGAAATTAATTTTTTTTTACAGCACTGTAAAGAAAAGAAATTTGAGTCTATAAATTAATTTACACTAATTTTCAATACCAAATTGATGCACATTATTTTTCGTTAAATCGATTGGCACGAATTGCGTTTCATACTTCCAAGATATCTCGGTCATTTTTCAAGCTAGAAATTTCGGATTGGTTTCAAAACATTGCTTTTTCAAAACAAATGCTTTTTCTAAATAAAATCTCTCTAACTTGTCAGAAACTTTTTAAATTTCTCCTAAACTAAACTTGAATTAAAAAATCCAACGACGTCACGACATCGAAAAAAACATTTCTCTATTTTTTGGAACCAATTCGAAATTTCTAGCTCAAAAAATGGACTCACGTTTTTTCCGCTTTTGACGGTAATTTCTCAGTCAGTTTAAACGAAGAAATGCTTAAATTGTTGATCTCAAAACATTTCTCTATCTAACTATTTGGTCAAAACCTAAAAACTATTGCAAGAGATAGGAGAAAAAGCCAAACGAAAACAGCTCCTTATCAAAATTTGGACATAAAAGGTGACCGTTACGTGGAATGGTCCTTATCCATTTTAAACAGCCTGAACTTCCAGTGGAAGGATGTGCAAGTCGGGAGGCGACTCACCTCAGGCGAGCGAGGGTTCTAGAGATGAGAACATATTTGTATTTCTTGTCTGGTCAAGAGAAGTGACACATGAAATACAGTTTTTGTTAACCTCTGAAGAAGAATTCGCATCTACACTAAGTTCGACTCTCAATATTAATTAAAACTAATTTATATTATCAAAATTATTACAAATCTATTACAAAAACATTTATTTAAATGAATTTTGAGCCATCGAAGCT